AATTCTTCCCGCTTACTCCACTTCCCATAATCCTCTTTTCCTTTACTAAACATTTTCATACGCTTATCACTTTGTATTTGTTTCTTGTCATCTCCTCTATTAGAAATTTAAACTCTATTAGGGGCTGGGCGCAGTCGCTCATGCCTATGATCCCAGCACTTTGGGAGGCTGAGGTGAGAGGATTGCCTGAGCTCACAGGTTCTAGACCAGCCTGAGCAACTTGGTGAGACCTCATCTCTACAATAAATAAAAAAATTAGCCGGGCATGGTGGCGCATGCCTGCAGTTCCAGCTACTTGGAAGGCTGAGGTGGAAGGATCGCCTGAGCCCAGCAGGTCGAGGCTGCAATGACTGCGAGCATGCCACTGCACTCTAGCCTGGGAGACAGAGTGAGACTCCCAACTCAAAAAAACCCCAAAAGCCAAGAAACAAACAACAAAAAAAACTCTATTAGGGTTGAGGACTTCTGTTTGTTTCAGGCTATGTCCTCAGCTTCTAGAGGAGAGTCTATCACACAGTAGGTGCTAAATAGTGAATAACTGAAAAAATTCACAGTATTGGGATACCAAATGAGACTCATGAAAATGCTTTTTAAACTCTAGAGTACTAGTCATGTGTAAGTTATAACAACATACACTGTATTTTAATAAGCATTTATCAAGCAACTGCTTCTGTGCTAGGTCATGAACTACTCACTACAATTATGGAAACAAATAAGACAAAGTTCCTGCTCACTCTAACTGGAAGGTTGGAGATGGGGAGAAATGGAGGTAATTGCTATTCAGGAATTATCTGGCCAAGAGCTACTGAAGCTTACTGAAGGAAAGGAAGATGTATTTTGCTTGGAGGGACAGGTGTATGTGAAGTCTTCACAAAAAAATGTCACATTAAGCTGAGATTTGAAGATTGTGGTTGGGTTTGCCAGACAGAGAAGCAAAAGAGCATTGCAGGCAGATGACCGAATCTTGGTGGTTTTCTCACTATGCAGGTTCGCTAAGCATCTTCTCCAATCAGGTGCCTTCCTCACGCCTGTCATTCTCTCTCCCTCCTGCTGCCCTATGCTTTCCTTGACCTGGCTCCCTGGATGCCTTTTTATGTCTCACTGTGCCCTTTTCCCCCTTGACCCTCAATGGATCAAAGGTTACAGCTCCATAGAAGTCATCCTCTCTCTTCTCATAGGTCATGGCAACTCCAGACTGTTCATCTTTGTACTTCCTATCACCCACCTTGGAGCTGTCCAGGGATTTCAGATATAGTCGGGTGGATTTCTGAAATCAACCTTCACAATAGTTTAATAGGGACAGATACTTTTTTTTTTTTTTTTTTGAGTTGGAGTCTCACTCTGTCACCCAGACTGGAGTGGAGGGGCCGCTCCCGGCCACCGCAGCCTCGACCTGCTGGGCTCTGGCGATCCTTCCACCTCAGCCTTCCGAGTAGCCGGAATTACAGGTGCGCGCTACCACGCCCGGCTAATTTTTTGATTTTTTTTGTAGAGATGAGGTCTCGCCTGCCCAGGCGGGTCTTGAACCCGCGGGCTCAGGCAATCGACTCATCTCAGCCTCCCAAAGGTGCGGGATTACATGCTGAACCACCGAGCCCAGCTGGGACAGATACTTTTTAAAGAAACATTTTACAATTTTTTTTTTTTTAGTTGGAGTCTCACTCTGTCACCCAGGCTGGAGTGCAGTGGCATACCTATGACCACCACAGCCTGAAGGGCAGTGGCATGCTCACGGCCACCACAGCGTGCACCACCACACCTGGCTAACTTTTTCTTATTTATTTATTGTAGAGATGAGGTCTCACCAAGTTGCCCAAGCTGGTCTCGAACCCCTGGGCTCAGGCAATCCTCTCACCTCAGCCTCCCAAAATGCTGGGATTACATGCTTGAGCCACTGTGCCCGGTCTACAATTTCCATGTTGACATAAAAATTCCTCTTACATAGTTTCTCAGATTATCTATTAAAAAAGAAGAGATTTGACTTTAGAATATAAATGAGAATTATTATAAAGAGCAAAATAAATGAAAGACAATGTTTATCATTGAGCAGTCTATTTTTTTATTTTTGAGTTGGAATCTCACTCTGTCACCCAGGATGGAGTGCAGTGGCATGCTCATGGCTACTGCAGCCTCGACCTGCTGGGCTCAGGTGATGCTTCCACTTCAGTCTTTCAAGTAACTGGAACTACAGGCACATACCACCACATCCGGCTAATATTTTTTATTTAGTTATTGTAGAGATGAGGTCTCACCAAGTTGCCCAGGCTGGTCTCGAACCCCTGGACTCAGGCAATCCTCTCACCTCAGCCTCACAAAGTGCTGGAATTACAGGCTTGAGCAACCATGCCCAGCCTACAATTTTCATATTGACATAAAAATTCCTCTTATATAGTTTCTCACAGATTATCTATTAAAGAAGAAGATATGTGGCTTTAGAATTTAAATGAGAATCATAATAAAGAGCAAAATAAGTGAAAGAGAATATTTACTATTGAGCAGTCTATGTTTATTTTATTTTTTTGAGTTGGAGTCTCACTCTGTCAGCAAGGCTGGAGTGCAGCGGTACACTCATGGCTACCGCAGCCTCGAATTTCTAGGCTCGGGTGATGCTTCTGCTTCAGCCTTCCAAGAAGCTGGAACTACAGGTGTGTACAACACCCAGCTAATTTTTTTGATTTATTGTTGAGACGAGGGCTTCTTGCCATGCTGCTCAGAATGGTCTCAAACCCCTGGGCTCAGGCAATTCTCTCACCTCTGCCTCCCAAAGTGCTGGGATTACAAGTGCAAGTGACGGCACCCGGCCAAGCAATCTATGTTTATTACATGAATGACTGCACGAATTAATGAATGAAATGAATTAAAACCATTTACCAGTATGTTATATTCCCGGATTTGGTTTTATAACTTAGTTGTTTTGATTTGGGGACACATTTTCCCATAGAAACAATGTCATACATGGTTCTTAAGTGCCAAGAAATCCCACCAAGACTATTTAGCCCATAATGTAGTAATAAAATGTAGGAAAGTAATGAAATTGTATAAGAACACAGTTTAACAATTTTGAATATTGGTGTTTGAAGAAAACTAGCTTTAATTAGAAGATGAGGTGGTACATTATAAATATGGTGACTCCCAAGGGTGTATCTGAGCCCTCTCAAGGGCTCAGGGGGTCATTGCCTCCTTTTTTTTTTTTTTTGAGTTGGAGTCTCACTCTGTCGCCTAGACTGGAGTGCAGTGGCCACTCCCGTACACCGCAGCCTCTACCTGCTGGGCTCCGGCGATCCTTCCGCCTCAGCCTTCCAAGTAGCTGGAACTACAGGGCTAATATTTTGATTTATTGTAAAGATGAGGGCTCGCCAATTTGCCCAGGCGGATCTCGAACCCGCGGGCTCAGGCAATCCACTCCCAAAGCGTGGGATTACAGGCTGAGCCACCGCATTGCCTCCTTTTTATGTCTATTTTCAAATTAAAATATATGCATTTCTTTCCCTTGGTATAATCGTATCCATATTCTATTCTCACAATGGGGTGGGGCAGGAAGGAAGAGTGTGTGTCTGGCCTTAAGGAAGACTGTATCAGTCAGAAGAGAGTCTGGAAGACAATGAGGTGAAATTAACCCAATGGCACTTGGTACAATATAGAGGAAAAGGAGGAAACAAGGTGAGAGTATGATTCAACCAAGAAGGAAGAAAATATGATAAAGGAAAAGTTGGTGCATGGTGGCCATGAAACAACTCAGGTCAGGTTGGCGCTGGCCAAGCCCAGGGAATGCAGGCAACATGCCACCAGACTTCCAGCGGTGTTTGCAGTGCTGATTGTGTCTTGACATACATACCCAGGGGCTCTCAGCAGAATACAGGATTTGTATATTATCATACCTGTCCTGATTTTGGTGACATGCGTCCTATTGGACGTCTTACTGATTTCTAAAGAAGAAACTTCAGAAACTCTTGCCTTTGATATAAAGAGATGTCAGTTCCACTTGATGGTGTCCGCCTAATCCTCTCCTTTTCTTTCCCCTCAGCTTTTTTTTTCCCCTCAACTAATCGACCATGACCAAATTACTTCATTCTCTGGGTTCCATTTTCTTATTTCTTTTTTTTTTTTAATTGGAATCTCAAACTCTATCGCCCAGACTGGAGTGCAGTAGCACGCTCACGGCCACCGCAGCCTCAATCTGCTGGGCTCAGGTGATTCTTCCGCCTCAGCCTTCCAAGTAGCTGGAACTACAGGCACGTGCCACCACACCCGTCTAATTTTTTGATTTATTGTAAAGATGAGGTCTCACCAAGTTGTCCAGGGTGGTCTCCAACCTGTAGGCTCAGGCAATCCGCTCCCCTCGGCCTCCTAAAGTGCTAAGATTATAGGTGTGAGCCACCGTGCCAGGTCCATTTTCTTATTTCTAAATGGCAACACTGAACTAGATTATCTAGCTCCTCCAATTCTAAATATTTGATTATGAAATTCTCCAAAATGACAAATCATAACAAGCCAGGAGGATGAGATCTAATGATATTGCCCAAATCAAATAGCTGTGGTTTCCAAAAAATGGCTCTGAGTATCACAGATGATTCCACTGTCTGGCACCCCCCCCCCCCCCACCCCAGGAGCAAAAGACCTCTTCGCTCTCTGAGCTGTTTCAGGGGCATCGAGCATCGAGATTTATCTAGCAAAAGTGGTGTGGCAAGTGTCAGATTTTTCTTCTTTAAAAAAAAAAATCTGTTCGTTCTTATCTCCTTGCTCAAAGGCTTTCTAGGTAGCCACAAGCGATACCACCTTATCTTTCCACCCTCAGGTTCCCCTTCTGGACTGCACGTGCTATGAAAGGCACAAACGCCATTGGGCAGCGAGCTCAGAGGACAAACGCCCCAAGAGTACCCTCGGCTGCGGGGGCGGACCATAAGAGCCACAGCTACTGGCGAGGTATACGGCGGGAAGGAAGTGAGACCGCCGCACTTCCGCTGTCCGGGCCGGAGAGCGCCGTACTTCCGGTGGCCTGGCCGGGCGCTCGCCACACTTCCTGTTGATCCTGCTCGGCCGGGGGCAGGGCTGAGGGGAGGGCCGGCGGGAGGGCGGTGTCGGCTACCGGCCAGGCGTGGGCGCGCGCCCGCCTGCCGCGGGCACGGAGTGTCCAGCCGCGTCGCCCGAGCCCGGAGGACACTCTGCGGCCGCGTCTCCCGCCCTCCGTCCTGCAGTCCGGCCCTCGGCCCGACCGCGCCGCACTATGCCCGCCGTGGACAAGCTCCTGCTAGAGGAGGCGTTGCAGGACAGCCCGCAGGTACCTCCCGCCGCTCCGGGGCCCTCGCCCGCGGGGTGAGGCCGAGGCCCGTTCAGCCCCGGGCAGAGGCTGCGTCCCCGCCCGGCGGCGGCGGAGCGCGCCTGGCCCCTCGGGGCGCCTCCCCCTTTGGGCCCCCGGGCAGAGGAGGGGGCGGGCCGGGCCTGCGTCCCG